CAGCGGTGCACTTCTGCAATGGTGAAAGACCCATTCTACCCACTGCATCAATCTTTCTTTGAAAGTACTCATCATGATTTCCAAGAGCTTCAACAATGCGAAGGAAAACATGTCTTCACATACGGAACCTTCATCTGAATTGCTCCTCTGTGTATACAGGATTTTCAGAGAAGTAGTCATTGAACAAGCGATTATGCCATTCTTCACGACTTCGATCTTATCATCATTCTTCTTTTTCTATGCTTACTTGTGTTGTTGGCTTGTTCTTGCGCCTCTCGTACTAACCTTATCACATCTTCCTCAGTGTTGTCGTTAAGACAATCATCTACGACTTCATTCCAAATTTTATCCCATTCAGCATTTGGATCCATGGAAGATATGATAATAATAATAATAATATAATGGGAGAACATGTGAGGTATATATATATGCTATTTTTTTTACAACGACTAGTTTTTAATAACGAATAGTTTTACAACGACTAGTTTTAAAACGGCTAGTTTCTTATAACGACTAGTTTTACAACGACTAGTTTTACAACGACTAGATTTTTAACGGCTAATTTTTTATAACGACTAGTTTTACAACGACTAGTTTTATAGCGACTAGTTTTTTTATAACATTCATTTAAAACAAAATTACAATAATATGAAATGCATATTCAAACCTAAACAACAACAACAACAACAACAACAATAATAATAATAATAATAATAATAATAATAATAATAATAATAATAATAATAATAATAATAATAATGCACCTAACTTCTCTTGAAGTACTTCTCCTTGATACTTTGACAAATTTCTTCATGCTCTCGACGTTGCTCATCATCCATTGCTGATTTGTCCTTCATGAGAATTTCATACAACATGAGAATGCTCTCTGCCAACCTTGCTTCAGCTATTTTACTATAGATAGCTAATTTCTTTTCTAAGGCATTTTCCATGCCAGTCAAATCCACTGTGGGTGTTATAGATGGAGATGCTTTTCCATGCCTTTTCTTTTTGTCGATTTTGTCTTGTTGGACGGTCGGTCTGAGTTGCGCTATTGTATTCTGAACAATCTATGGGATTTTCTGGATTAGATGTCGATGAATATGTCCCGGTAGAGGACACCTTTGATCTCTTTGAAGAGTTGTTCATTTCTTGTCCCTTCCATTTAGGCTCGTCCTTTAACAACCTCCATGTGTGCTCCATTGTGAAACGTTGATGACGTACTCGTACAAAAAGTTTACGGGCCTCATCCATGACGTCTGTCTCAGACTGTCCACTTTTCTTGTTAGCAACAGGTAGTTTGTAGTTGCCGCAAAACCATTGACAATGTTTATTCAATAGATGCCATCGAGATTTGAGTGTAGACCACTCTCTCGCTATAAATGGTCCACGATAGTTGTTATAGCCATCTTTGATTCTACTCCAAAAACTATCTGTTTTTTGGTCAACTCTGATAACTGAATCTTTGGAAATGTTAAGCCATGTTTGAATAAACAATTTATCTTCTTCTAAGAACCTGAGACGCTGTTTTTTTTGTTGAACGTTCTCCTTCTTCTGCAAAAGTAATATTTTCTAGACCCTTTTGAGTGGGGAACACTGACACTTGAGAATTTGTAGTTGACCCGATTGGTGATTCTGATTCAATGTTAAGAGACTCTACTACGTCGTTGGTACCCATTGAATGCGTATATTGGCTAGTGATGTTGGTTGGTGGTGGTTGAAACATAAAAGGTCGGGGATATTGAGAATTGTTGCCAGAAGAGAATGGTGGTGATCGAAACATAAAACATTGAGAATTTTGAGAACCATCACCAATAGGGAGCTATGGTCGTGGACACATTTGAAAATTTTGAGAACCGTCGCCGGTAGGAGTTTGTAAATAATTATAATAAGAATTCCATTGGTTGGGATCCATTTCATAAATTAAATATGATTGAAAATTAAAGAAAAAAAAATTAGAAGGTATAATTGTGTGTAAAAAATTACAACTTACTACATAGTATTTATAGAAAAGTAAATTTTTTTATAACCGTTATGATTTTTCAAAAATATATGACCGTTGTTTTCAAAAAATTACAAGACTTTAATTATATAAATAATAATATTATATGTTTCAAAATAAATAACATACGTTAACTATATAATTGTCTGAAATTAAAAGTTAATGAATTAAATGCTATATCATAGTCATTCCAATACAAATTTTTTATAATCATAGTTAACTATACAAACTTTAACTATTAAAAATTTGCATTAAAAATGCTCTAATTAAATATAAGACTATTTAAATCTATGAAATTCTCTTTATATTTAATCACTCTAAAATTATGGATAAATAATGAATTTATTTAGAAACTACTCAAATCAATATCTCACAAAAAACAAAAGTAAGTGGTTTTAGAGTATTTTAATTAAAAAATGATAAATACTAGTAATTGTTGTTTTATTTATACGAAATGTTGAATTTAAAATTACTTATTCATTTGCAAACAACCATTTATTTTTTGTTTACAAGTTATTTTATATATTAATTTAATTAATTTTAAATAGATGAAATTCACAATTTATCCACGATTTACTGTGGTTAATTATTCATAAAACTTCATGATGTGAATTTTTTGATGTTGTTGTTTTATTTATACGAACATTTAAAATTACTTATTCATTTGCACACAACCATTTATTTTTTGTTTACAAGTTATTTTATATATTAATTTAATTAATTTTAAATAGATGAAATTCACAATTTATTCACAATTTACTGTGGTTAATTATTCATAAAACTCATGATGTGAATTTTTTGATGTTTTATTCAAGGACTCATGTTAGTCACGAGTAAGACGTAAATAAATCTTCGAAAATCTTTTCTATATGTATTCAAATGTGAAATTTACCATATTAAATTTAATTTTATCCTTGATTAAATTGTGAGTAAATTTAAAATTTTATTTTTAATATTACAGTATATAACGTTATTAAGTCATTACTATCTTTATGGGAAAAATTAACTTTTTTATAAAAAAATTTAAATATTATTAAAAAATGCTTGATGTCACTATCTTTTATCTAATATCACAAAACATTATTAAATGTAAATTCATAATTTATAAATAATGTTATGTTGCTATTATATATAGATTTTTTTTATAGAAAACCTAATTTCATTAATTTATAAACCAATAGACCTTATAAAGTTCAAGAGACATATGACATCATAGGACATACTTCATCCATAGTCTAGCAACATTTTTTAAAAGTGAAAACTACATAAATATAAAAAATATTAAACATAATTTGATCACAATCTAAGAAGACACAATCAATCTAAACACAAATACATATCATCCATTTGTCCACTCTCACAGTGACAATATATGAGTGAGAATTCATTGTCCTTTTCAAATCCAATTAAAGAAGAATTTTTTTGACTTGTGTTTGCGCATTTTGATTAACTCTAGTCTTGAGATTGTCCACTTTTATTGATATTCAAAAGGTAATTGATGACTAGAGATAATGTTGCTCAAAGACATAAAACGCTTAGACAAAGCAAAACAAAAGCAAACTTTATACTCAAAAAACAAAAGCAAAACATAAACAATACTAAAGTAAAAATAGATAGATTAAACAAAGTTATAATCAACAACCTTTAGACGATTCATGAAGGTTTTGAGAGAGGGCGAAAAGCTTCTTACATAATAGGTGTTGGAGCAGATTCTGTGACTATTGAGTTTGGGATGCTAAGAACAACTTTAAGAAGCTTTCCATCTTTTAGTGGTGGTGGTTCTGGCGACGGCCGTGACAGTAGGAAGAGAGACAGTTTGGTTTGCGGTGGAATGAAAAGGTTACGATGTGTGACTTAAGCCCAGTAGAAATATGAGAGTGAGATTGAAAGAAATAGATACTACTATTTATAGAGGAGATGACCACCATAGAGATAGAGATAGAAGATGAAAACCACCATGAAAATAGGGAGGCAACCACCGTCAAACCCTACATCTTTACTATTTTATAATTTAGAAAACTTTCTATAATAAACTTATGAATATATGTGTATAAAACGGAGAGCTTTGATAACTTGTTCTCTACTCTTCTTTGGAAAATTATAAGTTAGTATCAAATGAATTAATTAAAAAATATAATATAATTTAACATCTTAACTTTGATTTACTAGTTAAAAAGAATGTAACGACTATGTAAGAAATAATATTGTTTATGAGTATGTTTGTGAGTTAACTTTTTAAGGATTTTGAAAGGAAATGTTTTAAATAGTTAAGTCTATATTTTAATTTATATTTAGTATTTTTTAAAAATTAAAAAAACAACATGCAATATTAAAATATATTATTAAATTATTTTAATATTCAATGATATTCAATATTATATGATATTTTAATATAAACTAAAATAAAATTTCTTTTAATATTAAAGGTAATATCAGTATCTAACCAAAATTTATAGTATTAAAAAATTGACTTTATTTAATTACTATTTAAAAATAATGTTAAGTATGTTTTAAGATATGTTTTAAGAAAATAAGTTAAGTTAAGAAGTAAATCAAAACATTAATTTTATTTAAAATATAATTAATTATTTTATTGTTTTTTTTTTAATTGTAGGTTTTTTAACATTAGTTATTAAATGAAAAAAAATCAAGTTTAAGGACTAAGTTGACTCATTAATTACTACCATAATTATCTTCGGAAGTCGAACTAATGCGGCCGTTTCACAAGCCGACACCTTTTTTCATATTCAGACAAAAGGAAAAAAAAAAAACTAAAAAAAGAATAGGTGTGTTATTCCACAATTGCCCCCAATCTGGAACTCCGTATTCTTCATCTGTTTTCAAAAATCACAAACCATTTTTTTGGATCACTCTTCTCTCTCTCACCTCATTTTCTGTTGCCTGTTTCTCCCGTGTATCTCTCTTCTTTCCACACACAGAGAGAGAGGGCGAGGAGAGAGAGAGAGGGTGACCTTCTTCTTCTTCTTCCTGTTGTTGGTTGATGGAGCTTCAGAAGCGTCCAGATCATAACCTACCGGAGAAGAAAGGCCAGAAAAGGAAACTGGAGGAGGAATCTCAACAAGACTCTCAGATCTCTCTTCCTCCCACCGGAGACGCACGCGACGCACTTGTTTCCGACGTCAACCAACACGTTTCAATTCTCCTTTCCACTTTTTCATGGAACGAATCCGATAGAGCTTCTGCTAAGCGCGCCACTCACGCCCTCGCCGATCTTGCCAAAAACGGTTTTAAACATTTCATTGCTCGTGCTTCCTTAACCAAATTTCCTTGCATGCTTTGTTTTCTGAATCAATTATTCTGTTGTTGCATCTGCAGAGGAAGTTGTGAATGTGATTGTTGAAGGAGGCGCCGTTCCGGCTTTGATTAAGCATCTTCAACCGCCTCCTTTGCCTGAACACGGCGGTCCGAAGCCGTTTGAGCACGAGGTCGAGAAAGGGAGCGCATTTGCACTTGGACTTCTTGCAGTCAGGGTAACTTCACTTCAGCGTATTTCATTATAGTAACTATTCTTTATGAATTATTGCCGCTGAGAACTTATTTCGGTTTTGAATTCTCTATTCTGAACTGTATGCCTTTTGTTTGATATGATTCTGTTATTAAGATTAGAACTCCATGATAGTTATTTGTGTTCTATTAGTACATCGGTGGAGGATGTATTTTGCTTTATATTTGTTTACCAGTGTTGATTATGTTTTCAAACTTGAAGTGTTATTTATTCCACTAGTCCTGGGTTATATAATCAGATTATTTAGATTAGTGATATGAAGGAAGGATTTTAAAATGGTATAGAACTTGAAATGTTATTTATTCCTCTATCCTGTGTTATATAATCAGATTATTTAGGTTAGTGATATGACGGAAGGATTTTAAAATGGTATAGAACTTGAAATGTTATTTATTCCTATAGTCCCGTGTTATATATATAATCAGATTATTTCGGTTAGTGATATGAAGGAAATATTTTAGAATGGTATAGGGAAGTTTCCAAGATAAATATATTGAATTATTCCTTAGTCCTTACATAAGCTATTTTGTTTGAAATGCATTCTTCAGCCAGAACATCAACAACTCATTGTTGACAACGGTGCTTTGAAGCATCTTGTTGATCTTTTGAAGAGGCATAACAATGGTTTAACATCACGTGCCATTAATAGTCTCATTCGGAGGGCTGCAGATGCGATCACTAACCTTGCTCATGAGAACAGCAGTATTAAAACCCGTGTTAGGTTTGCTTCTTCAAGGACTACCATACAAATGAAATTTAATTTGAAATGATTATGTTAATAATGACATGGAGTTAATGTGTAGGACGGAAGGTGGGATTCCACCATTAGTTCATTTGCTTGAATTTGCGGATACAAAAGTGCAAAGAGCAGCTGCTGGTGCATTACGAACCCTCGCTTTTAAAAATGATGAAAATAAGAATCAGGTAAGTGATCTTTATTGAAAAATGGGGATTTAGATGAATTTTAAAATGATGAGTGTATGAGTAAGTTACATAACATTTGTCACAATTTGTCAGATTGTTGAATGCAATTCACTTCCAACTCTGATTCTGATGCTTCGGTCAGAAGATGCTGCTATTCATTATGAAGCGGTATTACTAGTATAGCTTTAATTATAGATTCTTAATTTGCAATACTGTTGAGTTTGGTCTTTACACGCATCTCTTACCGGGCGCATTCAATAAATTTTGTTTTATTGCAGGTTGGTGTGATCGGAAATCTGGTTCACTCCTCCCCCAATATAAAGAAAGAAGTTATTCTTGCTGGAGCCTTACAACCTGTTATTGGATTACTTAGGTATATCCTCAATTTGAACCCATGAGAAATACAATGCTTCCTATAAGCCTTTATCTCTCTTCTGCAACCTTACCCTCAACTTGTATTGATATTATGACAAGATTATTATTATTATTATTATTATTATTATTATTATTATAATAATAATAATAATAATAATAATAATAATAATAATAATAATTATTATTATTATTATTATTATTATTATTATTATTATTATTATTATTATTATTATTATTATTATTATTATTTTAATATCTTCAAAGCTCTCTTTTTATGGCAATAATCTACCAAGACAAAAATATATTGCTGAGAAGGATATCTTATTAATCTATTCTTATGGTGTTCAATGTAACAGCTCTTGTTGCTCTGAAAGCCAGAGGGAAGCAGCATTGTTACTTGGACAGTTTGCAGCAACTGATTCAGACTGTAAGGTAAAAATAAACTTTAGTTGAATTCCGTGTTACTTTTTTATGGATAAGTATGTGTTAATACTGTTTGATACTGTTAGGATATAGAATGTAGGACAATTGGAGTAGTTAAGAATTTGTTAGATGTTAGTAAGTTGATGAGTTTGTTTGGTGGCTGTTAAGCTTTGTTATTTTGGTTATTCTTAGAAAGTCTTTAAATGCCCCTCAATTTGTAGATGGGAAAAACAAGTTTTGGAATAACTGATTTTTGGGACTGGTTATTCCAGTATGAGAGGAGAGTGGGACTGGTTATTCCAGTATGAGAGGAGAGTGGGACTGGTTATTCCAGTACTGAAGTAGAGTGCTCCTCTGTAAACCGTTTATATTTTCTTGTTCAATGTCTGAGAAATAAGAAATCCTTCATTGATTTGCAATTTTTAATCATTTGAATGTCTTTTCACACCATTATTCTAGGAATAGCCCTCAATTGGTAGAGGGGAAAGACAAGTTTTGGAATAACTGATTTTTGGGAGTGGTTATTCCAGTATTAAAGGAGAGTGCTCCTCTGTAATCCTTTTATATTTTCTCATTCTATCTCTGAGAAATAAGAAATCATTCGTTGATTGATTTGCAATCTTTAATCATTTGAATATGTTTTCACACCGTTATCCTAGGAATTCTTTCTTGCCCTGTTAACTTTATTTTTGTAGGTTCACATTGTACAGAGAGGTGCTGTCCGACCTCTGATTGAGATGCTTCAGTCTCCTGATGTTCAACTCAGAGAAATGTCTGCTTTTGCATTGGGGAGATTGGCACAGGTTATTTGTTTTCCTTTGTCTTTTCCATGTCATTGTACTTGTCTGTGCAACTTGAGAGGGTAACTTTACTCTATATTCATGAAAACTATTACCTCTTTTTTGTTGTTGTTTTTGAAGCCTAAACTTTTAAGCATTAAATAAATGGAGCTTAGATTTTAGCATACAAACTGTCTTATTAATATTTTGTTGCACCTTGTTAAATTTAGGTTTTATGCACTGTTTCCATTTGTAAGCTGAATTACAGAGTTCTTTTAACACCATAACCATTTCATCTGGGCTGAAGATATTAAATTTATATGTCAGGACACACATAACCAAGCTGGTATTGCACATACTGGTGGCTTAGTGCCATTACTGAAGCTTCTTGACTCAAAAAATGGGTCTTTGCAGCATAATGCTGCTTTTGCTCTTTATGGCCTTGCAGAGAACGAGGTAGGATAAACTACAAGAACTCTCATACTGAAGATTTTCCGTCATAATTATTCAGAGAAGTTATTACTAAAAACGGAAGTTAATGTTTTATTTTATTTTTTATTACTTTGTGCTGTAGGATAATGTGCCCGACTTTATTAGGGTAGGTGGAATTAAGAAACTCCAGGATGGAGAGTTCATTATTCAAGTAAGTTATTTCCTTAATGCCTATAGGAATTCAATGATACTGGTGATTGCACGCAAATTTTATCTTTATGAACTGGAACTATTAGGCTTTCTGAGGCACACTGATCATTATGAAAATGCTATTGGTTTCTATTGTAGGCAACTAAGGATTGTGTTTCTAAGACATTGAAAAGACTAGAAGAGAAGATTCACGGTCGTGTAAGCACAGTGTCACACTGGCTTTTTACTTTACTGAGTTTACTCTTTATACTGTAATTAATATGGAAATGACAAGGATGCTATTAGTGTTTCAGTTAGAAGTTTAATAAGTTCCACACAACAATAAACCACAATAAACTGCGAAGCCCTATTCTATTTTTTTTGGTCAAGTAGCCTAGTGACTGGAATTTATCCTTTAAAGATGAATAAGTGAGGTGTCGTAGGTTCAAACCCGCACCCCTGCAATTGATGTCCTTGCACAGCTACCAACTGGGTTGGCTTAACTGGACACCACAAAGCCCTATTCTATGAGAAGTTTCATATTTTGATCCAATTTGTAATTATTAATTTTTTCTTTGTAGGTGCTGAACCATTTATTATATCTTATACGGGTTTCAGAAAAGGCATTCCAAAGACGAGTTGCTTTGGCTCTTGCCCATCTTTGTTCTGCAGGCGACCAGAGAAAAATATTTATTGACCACAATGGTATGCATATTCTTAGTCAACCTTTTTGCATTAATGTTATTTATCTTCTTGCCTACATAAATAAGTATATTTGTATTGTATCTACCGAGATATGAGCGGTATTTAATTCAACAATTTAATATAATTCTAAGTGAAAGACAGTGAGAGTTTTGTTCACAAACGTAAATAGTGGTAAAAGTAGTGAATATCACGAGATAAAATTGTTAGGATTAGATTTCCTTAACCACTTTCGAATACAGCCTAATGATTAGTTACATACATTCATGTTAACATTATCATCACAGGTTGCTATTCAAACAATATTAATTTCTTAATAACGAGAAATCTATCGTCTTGACAATTCAAATCACAACGTCATAGTATGATTGATCCAGTCATAACAAGCATTAAGAGCAAAGATAAACATTAATATTAATGAGTTTCTAGAATATATAATTTGAGATGAAAAGAGATTCAAAGGAATATGATTGATTATATCTAATCCCAACAAAGAGAGAATTAGCTACTCATTGACATGCTGGCCTTACACAATTGAGAAGAAATGGGATGAAAATGCTTCAATTGTTGATTCCCCTAACCCCTCATCTTCCTTACTCAAATTCGTAAGGTTCTGTCTTCTCTCGGTGTATATCTTCAAATGACTGTTTTGAGATTTCACTTAGTGAAATTGTGGTTCGCTTAGCGAGCCTATTCACCCTGAAGTAATGGCCTGCCAGCTGTACAAAAGTGCCTTTAAACCTTAAATTCGCCAAGTGAAATCGAGGTCCGCTTAGCGACATTTGTTCTGCTAAACTTCACGAACTCTATAGTTTGCATTTTCTAAGCCACTCTCCTCTGCTTGCTCAGCAAATCACTACGCCCCGTTTTCTTCAAACTTTAGTTCCAATGGTCTTGATTGCTTTTCTCTTTGAGTGCTAACTCTATTTTACCTATCAACACAAAAATATGCAAATATTGCCATTCACATATCTCAAACCCTAATTATATATACCAAAATTGGGATTTTTCAAACAGCTTTTGCACCGAGCCTTTAATGTTTAAATTAAAAATACTGAATTAACAACAAAAATAAATTACAAACTAGGTGAATTTGACACTTACCAATACTTTGTTGCGTATTCTATTCTGTATGAAGTCGCACATCTGTTCATGCAGGACTGGAGTTGCTTATTGGGCTTCTTGGCTCATCATGCCCTAAGCAGCAACTTGATGGTGCCGTGGCTTTATGCAAGTTGGCCAACAAAGCTATGGCTCTGTCTCCTATTGATGCTGCTCCTCCATCCCCAACACCTCAGGTAGGCTTATTATATGCAGTTTGCTTCACCTTCTTGATTCATAATCTCACACCTAATAGTTTGATATTTTTCTCTCACTATAACCATAACCATAGGATCCAAATTCTTTACCTATACGTGATGGTTCTTGGTCAAAATTTTATTATCCTTCAATTTTCTCAATGAAATGGGAATACTTTGTTTCTTCTGCCTTTTGGTTTTACACTTGTTGTACTCATAGGATCTTTGTTCAATCATATCTTAAAAAGTGTTAATTGCGCGAGGTCTTCACTTTTTTGAAGTTAATTGAATATCTAGCAGTGTTGTATAGTGGTCATGGTAGATTGTGATGGGCGTTTTATGGCGGATTTTGGCCTTCCAACATGATCCACCATCCACAGTCGCTAAAACTGATATCTAGATCGAGAAGTCAAGGCGTATAGTTGAACACATGCTATGTTTAATTAATTGGCATCTGATGTCTAGCTTTGTCTTTTCTCCTTATTTTCCTTCCTGTCTTCAATGATTTTGGAAAAATTGTTTTTCAATGTTGGAATATCTATTATCCTAGACTATCCTTCTTTGCAGGTCTATTTGGGAGAGCAGTTTGTAAACAATGCTACCTTATCAGATGTTACATTTTTAGTTGAAGGTTGATACTTCCTATCCAAATTGGTTCTTTCTGGAAATGTTTCTTAAAAAATAACTTGCATGAAATGTCGTGTCATAGTTTCAATTGACATTTGCAGATAACCAGGTATCTTTATATTTAACTGCAGGTAAACGGTTTTATGCCCACAGAATCTGTTTACTTGCTTCTTCAGATGCATTTCGTGCAATGTTTGATGGTGGTTATAGGGTGGGTATATCTCCTCTCTCCCCTCCCCCGACTCTTGTTACTATTGATTATCTACCAAAAAAGATAACTCCTTTACTGATTCCTCTTTTCACAAGAAACGAATTTATCACCTACTATTTTGGTTTAATGCTTTCTCTTCCATGTGAAAACTTTAGTTGGATATTTCATATTTGGCTTTTGAATTGAATGGTGAAATTAAATATGGCAATACAAGTTTGTATTGCAAGTTTAATTTAAATATATTCCATGTCCTTAATGTACAGTTTATTTACTGTATGACAGGAGAAGGATGCAAGGGACATTGAGATACCAAATATTAGATGGGAGGTCTTTGAGCTGATGATGAGGTCTAATCATATGCTTTATGAAAGTTATGTTGTAAAAGCTTTTAAGGATTTGCAGGCAACTTAAATTTCATTGTTTAATCTTTGTCCAGATTTATATATACTGGATCAGTTGATCTCACTGTTGAAATTGCTCAAGATCTCCTCCGAGCAGCTGATCAATATCTTTTGGAAGGGCTTAAAAGACTATGTGAATACACAATCGCACAGGTTAGCCAAGTGAATTGGGTTTGTTAGTGCATTGTTTCCTGAACTAATATTAGAATAGATAGTGAATTCCTCAGTACATGTTTTTTTGTCGCATGATGTATCACTACATAATAATATAATAGAAAGAAAATCTCTCATTACTTGAGTTTTTTGTCACAGGATGTATCACTGGAGAGTGTGTCAAATATGTATGAACTTTCGGAAGCCTTCAATGCTATATCATTGAGACACACATGCATCCTTTTTATCTTGGAGCACTTCGATAAATTAAGTGCAACGCCAGGGTAAGGCATTTTTTATAAACTGATATATAGGCAACCTAAATGGATTATATATCTTAGAATCTTGAATAGGCTATAGGTTTAGTCTTGTCTTTGTAGTCTTGGCAAACATGTTGACCTAAAAGGAATCCGTATATTGAAAATTTCTGGCGCATGTCTTCATAATCATGAATTATTTCACCTTGAGTAAAGGTTTCTCACTGATATATGGAACGGGGACTAGCAAATGGTTTTCTCTCAACAATTGAAGAAAAGTAATAAGCTTGGTTCTTATTCCCTTCTATTCAATCTTGCTTGCTTTCATTTTGACCAATATGATCATAGACTGCAGTCTTATACATAGTTGTATAGATAGATTGACGGTAGACACCAACCTTCACTTTGAAATAAGCTGGATAATCAAGTTTTAGTTGGTCAGTTTCATTTTTGAAAAGGACTTTTAGTTGATAGGTTAAAGCAGTTGAAGTTCACATTAATGTTGCATTAGTTCTTAATCATCTTTTAATTTGTGCGTTTTTTAAATATCTAAATTCTGTTTGCGCCAACTGTTTGCAGACACACTGATTTGATTCAGCGTACAATACCAGAGATCCGCAATTACTTTGTTAAAGCTCTTACGAAGGGGAACTCCAACATCCAGGCATAGTGTCATTATATGGTTGACGTCTAACAAATTGCAATGTGTACATAATATGGTAGATGTTATTGATTATTATTTAAAGTGTGAGGGAGGCCTCCTGGATTCAGAACTGCATGGTTTTGAAGACACCAGGTGGTGTCTGTTCTTTTTTGATGCCGTGTCTCTCCCTTATGTTTGTAACACCGTTGTCGTAAATGTAGTAGCATGCATGACCTTCACGAACATTGATTTTTTTCCTCGTGCAATATTGTGATGGTTATGAATTGATAGTTCTCTATCTCAATCGATTATGCATTACAGTTGAGTTTATGATTATATTACAGAGTACCCAAGCATTTCATTTATATTTCACGTGTGTGTGTGTGTATATATATATATATATATATATATATATATATATATATATATATATATATATATATATATATATATATATATATATATATATATATATATATATATATATATATATATATATATATATCTCAGTCCTTTACAATATACCAGTCCTTTACAAGAAAGTTGTCTTATGGGCTGCGCGAGTTTTTGGTAAAGTCTCGAGTGAGATAAGGGTGACTGGGAAAAACAATGTCTTTGGAAGAGACACTGGTTTCAGGATCCTCATGTTGTGGTGGAACAATTGGTAAGTTCCTAGGACAACCTATGGTTCCATAGGTGATGAGGTATTTCTTTTACTCATCATTTTCAGGAACTCGATTTCGACCAAACTCTAAAGAACGGGGTGATCTTTCAAACTCTCTGTAGAAACCCATTTTAATTAAGGATATAAAGTTAAAAGTGAATTCACAACATAATGATGCTGTAAATTGAAAAGGAACATCGCTTTGGTTTGTTGAACTGGCAAAAGACTACGGACGCCTTAAAATCATGTTTGCTATATCTATGTGTTGAAACTCCAATTTGCATTGACACAACCACTAATAAATTGTTGGTTGTTGGAGAAGTGGTTGAGATTTTTGATATTGATTTAAAGGTTACGAGTTCAAACATTATTGAATTTGTTAAACTAACAAAACAACTGAGCACAAATTGTGTCTGGTTAGCATCAAACTAGCGCCTTGTATTTGATGGGATGTGCGAAATGAATTTATTTACCACTATACCATTGCAATTGTTTTGTACAAATATGAACGTAATATTATATATTGGTTCAAATATCCAATAAGTTAAAGGTTTCTTTTTTTCACCAATTGATATGAGTTTCTCTATAAATAGAGATAACTTGTGGACCTGAACGCCCACGGAAATTACACGTTTTAAGTGCCAAAGATTATATCTAAGTCATTGTTTTATTTTTTTAGTACACGAGAATAAATAAGAGAACTTTATTCTGTAAAATATCGTTGATCGATATACTTAATATGAATGTGCAATTCATGTTAAGGTTTTCAAAGTATCATAAAAGGGATTCGCTGAATTATCCATTTGCATCCAATTTGTTTAAATTGTTGAGGGCGAATTGAACCTAAAGCTTAGTGTAAATACACGTTTTGCAACTTATTTTGTGCAACTTTTATCATATAATTTTCATCTTCTTCTTGTTCATATTTTGCAGCACACCCCAAATACAAGATCTAACAATCTTTATGTTCGATTTTCGATTTTGATTCATACTTTATTTATTATTAATATTAAAGCATACAACTTTAAAGAAGATGATAACAATTTTCAATGATACTGAAAGAAATGAACACTCATGCCTTCGTTGTAGACATTTGTAACATTAATGGCCTTGTAAACATCAGATAGATGGCTATAAGCATTCTGACGAGCATGTGCGCATGCCGCATTGACATGTGAGCAAGGTACATGGAAGGCCTGATACTTGCCACAACCACACCAACATTTGTTTAGTCTGACATCATAGGATAAATTTGGCATCCGCTCATTATGGTCCATCGTTTCATTTACACTAAAAGTTTGCCTATGACGGCCAAAGATTGTAACTGCATGTGTGTGTTGGCTTTGATATTATCCTCTTTCATCACTTTCATTATGCTTTCACTGAATAATTAACCTGACATTAACACTACACTCCATCTTTCGCCTCTTGTTGCGAAAAATGATGCCAACCTATAATAGGTTTATCTCACCAAAGCGGTGATTGAAATGTTTCTAATTTCTTTGAAGACTTCGTTCATGGATTCCACAAGGTTTGTTGTCATGTGACCCCAACGACATCCACCATCAAATACAAGAAATTCTTAGGGAACCTGTTGGGGATTTTCCTGAGACTTCAACTCCTTAAACACCTGGAGTGAATCAACGAGGGGAACGAGTGAGGGTGCCTCGAAGATGTGGAATCGGTGGCCGGTATGACCAACCTGGTCGCCAACATTAATTTATGCAATATTATTTTTAATTAATGATTAATGTTATTTATTTTTGTTTAAAAAAATTACACAATACACACTGTCTCCAAATGAATTGGTGTCTCTCTTGTATGTTTAACACGTTGTCTCCAATTGAATGGGCAACATCATATATTATCTTCAATTCAATTGGCAATACCACTCAAGTCCAATAAATAGTCGCCAATTGACATGACGCCACCTCTATATCACACCCTCAAAATAGAGTATTTTGAGAAATAAATTAAAAAGTGAGGTATTTTGAGATTTTTTATAAAAAGTGAATTATTTAGGTAAAAAATTCTGATTATTAAATGAGTCATCTCATATGTGACTTGTACATGAAAATACACATCATATTTTTAATACGACAAATAAAATTACGTAAATATGAAAAATAAAAAATACACATAGAGAATATTACAATTGAGAAAAGTAATTTACTTTTTCAAATAAAACTATAAATGTAAATATTTTTGTAGAATAAAATTATTAATATACGTTACATTTTAATAATAATTTTATATTAAAAAGAAATGATATAATTAATCATAAATAAACTAGTATATAAATGTAGGTATGACAACGGGGCAGGTTGGGGACGACGATCTTTACCTTTCTCAAACCTAAATCCGAATTCTCAAATAATCTTCATTCTCCGTCCTAAACCCAAAAGTGAATGGAGAATTAAAACTCAAATCCGTTCCGAACAGATTTGGATTAGGTTCGAGTATTCCCATCCCACCACTATCCATTAAGTAAAATTAATTTTTTTAATAAAAATATTTATTTTTCCAAAATCAAATTATATTATAAATAATAAAATAAAACAATATAAAAAATTCATACATACATTTCAAATATTTTAAATAATAAATACAAATCAAAATATCAAAACATTAGTCATATATTTAATATTCTAAATTATAAAAAATAAACAATAATGTATATAATGAAATAAACAGGACGAGTTCAGTATGAGTACTAGTGTCTCCATTATCCAACTCGTACCCATATTGTATAATTGAGAAAATCCAAATCCAAACTCAAACTCAATCAAATCGAATTTTCTCCTTTAACTTTGAGACAGGTTCGTATCAGTACCTGCGAGTTTGAGTTAAGTTGTCATGTGATATGTGAGTTATAGATGAAAAGATAATATATTAGTCGTATTAAATTAATTTAGTTATATAGATATATCTGTTCTGGCCTGGGCCCCGGCCTCACCTCGCGGCCCAGCCCGTTGGTACACAATAAAGGCCCAATACGATTTAAGTAGGCCGACCGAGCACATGACCCCTCGACGAGCAGGGCATGCTCTCGTCGAGCAGAGCAGCGTGCCTCAGGACGCCCTCTGCGTCCTCCCCTCGGCGGGAAGAACGACTCTTCGCGGGCAGAATTCCTATGTCGTCGGGCAGAACCACATGCCTCTCCCCCGCCCTCGTGTGCTCCCCTCAGCGGGGAGAACAACACACTTTCGGGGAACCGAGCGAGCTCCCCTCCGCGGGGAGATCAACGTGCCATTCACACGTTCTCCACGTGCTCCCCTCCGCGGGGACACGTCATCCACCAACTTCCCACCTCAGAAAGAGCAGGTCAAACCCACTTTCCGGAGATCATGGGACAGTTGAACTAGAGCGAATACCACGTCCTGGTCTTCACTACGCCACGTAAGCCCTAGCAGTCACCTGGGTTGGGCCTGGCCATCCAGCCCAACACAAGTGACCGTTGGCCCAGCGCTGGGGTCTTTTTATAAATACCCTCTTGCACAAGAGGGTCAGGTAATTCACTTCTTACCCCATTTCTGTGCTTTGCTCTCACTATGCCTAATTCCTTACTTTGGCATCGATGTGTCTTGCAGGTACACCCCCCTTCTCCTCCTCATCACCGGTGAACAGATAGCAGTCCAACACAGTTTGGCCAGCCCGTGATCCCCTTCTGATCAAGTCAGATCAGTGGCGCCGTCTGTGGGAAAAGAAACTTTCCTGTTACTCCGAGCAGAGAACCAAAGTTTCACTAACACTCCACGATCATGGCTAGCCCACACCACAACGATACCGTGCACGACTTCATGCTCAACGCTGCCGCAAACGGCGGCAAGCAAACGGAGACGTCACGCCCAGCGGAAACCGACGAGAGAGACGGCCAGACTGCATCTCCGTCGTCCGCAGAACCGACACACCAGGCTGACCACCGGTCCCAGAGCCCAGCGGCGTTCCAACCCGTTCCCGTCCCGGCAGGAGTGGACCCAACGGTGGCCTCCCTCTTTGCGGCCATCAACCAGACGAACCAGCTGTTGTTTCAGCAGAATGCACAAATTGGCGCGCTAGAACGTGAGGTCCCCCCAAGGTCCCCTCCGCGGGAAGACCAGAATGGGGACTCGAGGAGCCCATCGCCTTAACCCAGAAGTCGACGACCTCGGCTGGAGAGGCCCCGAATGAAAGCAGTGCGGGAGCGGACAAGATCCCCGACGAGACAAGTTCGCGGGAGATGACAGAACGTGGCAACACTCCCGACCAGCCCTCCGCGCATCGAGCCCCCAGTCAGGAGGCCGAGGACCCGAAACCAGATGCCTATACCAAATGGCCCATCTCCCCCTCGATCGCCCGCTCTCAGCAACGAAGACGACTACAG